ACTTTTGGGGGCCCCTCCTAAACACTCCACCTTCACCTTCGCCGTAAACGCTAAACCATAAACCCTAAAACCCTAAACCCTAACCCTCAACCGCAAGGGTACAAACCACGGACACGGAAGAGCGCAACCATTCCCGCAAAAGAGGGTTTAGGGTTTAGGGTTTAGGGTTTAAGGTTTAGGGTTTAGGGTTTAGGGGAGAGTGAATGAGGCGATAGCTGAGAAGTCCAGCATGTCAGCCATGGATAGCGCAGTTCTCCTGGACACCTGACCGGACGTTGACAAATTTGTGCCATTGATAAGCGTATCATACAGGTCTTTGTGGCCCTGATTGTGCGGCCTACGACCATGGTAGTTTCCCTTACCTCCGCGCAAAAGGTAGTCTATGATGTTGCCGCTGCGAGAGAATTCCCTTACTATGCCATTGGTCATCATCCAGTTGCTCACAACCTCGTCTGTCCAGTGACTGCCGCTGTCCACAGCATACTGCCTGGTTTGTGGCGGCCCAAGGGTAGTCTGGGGTGCTCCAAAACGCCAGGTTCAGGGTTTAGTGTTGTGGGTTTAGCCCTCAACCCCAAACCCATGCATCTAAACCCTCAACCCTACAACAAACACCTCAGCCTGTGACACCTCAGCCTGTGACCTGAGACAGTCGACAAATTTAGGGTTTAGGGTTTAGGGTTTAGGGTTTAGGGTTTAGGGTTTAGGCCTTCAAAGTACCCCAACCCCTGCGTCTCCCAAAAGAGATTACCCCCGAAGTTGATCAACAAACCCTACATGCCCTAAACCCTAAATCCTACACCCTAAACCCTAATGGGTCTAGGGTTTAGGGTTTAGGGTTTAGGATTTAGAGTTTAAGCCCTAAGCCCTAAACCTGTATACCTATACTCCTCAGACCCAACAAAGGCAAACACTGAACACCAAAGGCTGAGCGGCATAAACAGCAACCAGTCCCAAAGAACGCAGTAAACTTCCATTCAATGGCCCTAAAGACACAAAGCCCTAAACCCCAAGTCCTAAACCCTACACCCCAAGTCCTAGACAAGCCTCATAAGCCGCCCTAAGCCCTCAGCCTACAGCCCACAGCCCTGAAAACATGAACTTTAGGGCTTAGGAGCTTAGGTTTCGGGTTTCGGGTTTTGGGATTATGGTTTAGGGGGTTTAGGTTAGGGTTAAGGGTTTAGGGTTTAGGGAAGCCCCGATGCCTCAACCCGAAGACCCGAATCCTGAAAGCAAAAGGCATCCTTAAAACCACCAAGGCCTGAACGCCCGACCCGCACCCATCAACCCCTCATCCCGAAGGGTTAGGGTTTAGGGTTTAGGGTTGAGGGTTTAGGGTTTAGGGTTTCCACCTTGGCCGCCTGGTCGGGGAACCGCAGGCGCTGGGCGGGAACGGCTTGCCTCAGCTTAGTTCAGGGTTTAGGGTTTAGGGTTTAGGGTTTAGGCTTTAGGGTTTCGGGTTTAGGGTCGTGGGCTTTAGGGTTCAGGGTTCAGGGTTTAGGGTTTACAGTTTAGGGCTACTGGCACTGACCAGCCTCTGCATAACCCTCAACAAGATCCACTCAGTGAAGGGTTTCGGGTTTAGGGTTTCGTGTTTAGGGCTAGGGTTTAGGGCTAAGGTGTAGGGTTTAGGGTTTAGGGTTTCGGGTTTAGCGTTTCGGGTGATGTCCCTCGAAAGTTTGCCAAGGCTTTATCCTGAGGCTCCAGGGCAGAAGCCCTAGACCTTGAAGAGGGTTAGGGCTTAGGGCGTTAGGGGCATACACAAGTGCGCTTGTCCTTCGAGTCACCTGATCCCTAAGACGCTCCAACCCTAAACCTTAAAGCCCCGTAGCCTAAACCCTAAACCCTAAACCCTAAACCCTAGGCCCTAAACCCTAAACCCTCAACCCTCAACCCTCAACCCTAAGGCCCAAGCCCTAAACCCCTGAAACCCAAAGGGTTTAACACGAACCAGAACCCCAAGAGGCCCAGTCCATTAGGAAGCCTGTGTATAACCCTAAACCCTAAACCCTAAACCCTAAACCCCAAACCCCCAAACCCTAAACCCTAAACCCTCAACCCTAAACCCAAAACAACCTATGCAGCCTGTACAACCCGAGGGCCCGGACTTCAGAAACTCTTTATGCAGCGGTTTACGAAGCCTAGGGGACCCAGAAATAAACCCCCAAACAGCAGGATCGCCTTTTTTAAAACCTAAACACTAACCTTAAACCCTAAACCCTAAACCCTAAACCCTAAACCCTAAACCCTAAACCCTAAACCCTGAACCCTGAACCCTGAACCCCTAAACCCTAAACCCTAAACCCTTTCTAAACCGCCATGTAAGGTGAGGGACCATGCAAAAGGGACCAAGTGGGTACCTTGGGTACCATGGGCCAAAACCCTAAGCCAATCGCATGCCTTCCAGCTGCTTTTCTTGAAGGCCTTCAACTCGTTTCGGGTTTAGGGTTTAGGGTTTAGGGTTTAGGGTTTACATACACAAGGCAGACAACGTCTAATCAACGTCAGAAAAATCCGCAGCTCAAGAAACTGTTAGTCCAGCGAGGCATTGTGCACGGTGAGACGATCCTTTCTGCAACATTATTGCTTTGCTTGACGCTGAGTCCTTGGCTGCTCGTTGTTACGTTGTTTCCTTAAATTCCGTTCGCGACATTGCATGGAGCCCGCTGGCAAACCCTCCCCCCCCCCCCCCCCCCCTAGCCCTAAGCCCTAAGCCCTAAGCCCTAAGCCCTAAGCCCTAAGCCCTAAGCCCTAAGCCCTAAGCCCTAAGCCCTAAGCCCTAAGCCCTAAGCCCTAAGCCCTAAGCCGTAAGCACTCAGCCCTCAGCCCTCAGCCCTGAACCCTAAACCCTCCCTCGAGGCCCCGACCCAACATCGGCCATTTCGCTCCTTCGATTTCACCTCTGGCACCCTGGGCCAGGGTCGATGGGTTTTGGGTTTTGGGTTTTGGGTTTAGGGTTTAGGGTTTAGGGTTTAGGGTTCGAGGTTTAGGGCTTTCTAGGATGGCCCCTAAAACACTCTGAAAAGTATTCGGGATATGATCCTCTTGAATCTCTTGAACCCAATTAGGAAGAATATAGACCTAGGGTTTAGGGTCGATGGTTTCGGGTTGAAGGTCTGGCGTTTAAGAGTTTTTGGGTTGCCCTGAAGGCTGAGGACTTTAGAGCTGAGGCTCCCAATGGTGGATTAAGTTTGGTGTGAGCTCAGGGTTGAGGACCGCTACTGCTGAGGGTTGAGAGCTCAGGTGTACCGTTGAGCCAACAGAAAAACACCAAAACATATTGTAAAAAAACAGTTTGAAAAACAACTAAAAAAAACAGAGCAGAATTGAAGCTGTCGTTCGCTGTGGCAGCGAAATTATTTGCAAAAGGTGCATACATGCATGCATGCATACGTCCATGCATCCATACATCCATACATACATACATCCATACATACATCCAGCCATGCATGCATACATACATACATACATACACACATACATACACACATACATACACACATACATACACACGTACACACATACATACAGCATACACACATGCACACACACATACGCACATAAATACCTACATGCATACATATATACATACCTACATACATACATGCATACATACGTACATACATACATCCATGCACGCATGCATGCATGCATGCACACATGCACTCATCCATATGTATGCTACCCCCCTCCCCCCCCGAAAACGCGCGTTTTACTACTTTTCCTGTATCTCACCATGAGGACGCTTAGCCATGTCTAAGGTACACGGACCAGATATTGCTGCGCAAAATCCGGTTGAGATGTATACACGCGCGCGCGCACGCGCGCGCGCGCACGCGCGCGCGCGCGGGTGTGTGTGTGTGTGTGTGTGTGTGTGTGTGTGTGTGTGTGTGTGTGTGTGTGTGTGTGTGTGTGTGTGTGTGTGTGTGTGTGTGTGTGTGTGTGTGTTGGTCCTGTGTGTGTTCTGTGTGTGTGTGTGTGTGTTGTGTGTGTGTGTGTGTTTCTGTGTGGTGTGTGTGTGTGTGTGTGTGTTTTTCGTGTGTTTGTGTGTGTGTGGTGTGTTTCTGGTTGTGTGTGTGCGTGTGTGCGTGTTTCTGTGTGTGTGCGTGTGTGCGTGTGTGCTGTGTTGTGTGCGTGGTGTGAGTGTGTGCGTGATGTGCGTGCGCTTGTGTGCGTGCGTGTGAGTTGTGCTGTGTGTTTGGCGTTGTGGGTGTGCGTGTGTGCGTGTGTGCGTGTGTGCGTGTGTGCGTGTGTGCGTGTGTGCGTGTGTGCGTGTGTGCGTGTGTGGGTGTGTGTGTGTGTGTGTGTGTCTGTGCGTGTGTCTGTGCGTGTGTCTGTGTCTGTGTCTGTGTCGGTGTCTGTGTCTGTGTCTGTGTTTGCGTCTCTGTCTGTGTCTGTGTGTGTGTAAACGTACAGGAGTATCCAACGGCGGTGATGCGGAGCATAAAAACAGGTTCATGTACGCAGGGAGAATGCGAAGCATGTACCAGAAGACACACTCTAAAGCAGAGACTGTCGCATACACAGCTTTGCCGCCACAACTGTATTACCGCACGCCAGTCACGCTCGTCTGCAGTAGTTCCTTCTGTTCTTCTAGTCGTAGAATTTACGCATGTTCTCTGCGCAAATCTCACCGCACTTAACCCAGAGGTGAGGTCGCAGTTCTTGTACCAGTACTCGTACTGGGCTGCTCGCAGCTTCCCTCGCAAGAGTTTGCTACCGGCTCTGCAGTGTTGATTGATCTGGACACGATCTTTCAGGAACCACCAGCATCTGTCTACCACCTGAGTCCCCGATTTGACTGTCAGCCTTCGCTTGGTTTTCGGGATGACGTGCTTCACCAAGGTCACGTACTTAGGCTGAAGCCACACTAGCTTCCCGTTCCGTCTCACCCGCTTCTTGCAATGGACGATACGGTCATGGATCACGCCAGGAAGGGCCAACTTGTATGACTTGGCTGAATCCGTGCGCAGCCACCCGTCGGTTCTCCAAATGCTTTTGCCCTATGGATTTCCACTCAACGCGCCTAGTTGCCCCCGGACCAGGCGCCTTGGTAACGGTGTGACCTTGCAAAGAACAAAAGACTGAGGATGCCCTCTTTGGATGACACCGGCCCACTGCTCCCACATCGTTGCGTTGGTTTTCTTCTGGATCAGGTGCTGGAACTCAACCCTGCGTGAGATGTCTCGTTTGTCAAAGGTTGCTTCGTCCTTAACATACTCTTGAAACTAAAAAATATGAACGATGCAGACGGAAACAATGAAACAATAAGGAAACACATTTTCAACTGCAAGCCCGAAACCCTAAGTCATAAACCGCAGATCTAATTATGTTGTCAACCATAAAGCAAACCGAGATACAGCTTCCACGTCTTTCCAGTTACGACCGTCACCGAAGACAATCTCTTTCTGTTTCTTCTCGACAAATTCCCATCTAAGTTCACAAAGTTTCTTCTCCATATCCTCCATGGCTTTGCGATTGATGTCTAAGAGAACATGAATTGCTGGATGTGGGACACGGAGGAGCTTGAGGAGAAGCTTGTCACTCTGATCTTGCAAGCTTCTGGCACCTGGGCCGCGACCATCTGTGAACAGAGGATGCAAGTGACGTGGGCTCATCCAGACGTGGCACCCGCGAGAGGACCCTGTTGCAACAAGACACGGCAGACGAAATGGATGGAAGTGTTGCATGCTTGGCTGCAAAATCAGATCGCTATGATGTGGTGTTTTTGCAAGCGAAGCTTGTTACGGCCCATTCTTCCGGCGTCTGATGTCAGAGCAGTGATGAGTCCAGGACCTGCCTGGTTAGTGGTGGAGAAATCACCCAGCGCTAGGTATTTGGTAAACCGTTGAAAACGATAGTTGAAAGTAAAACCGTAGCATTTACAAGCCTAACTGCTAAACCTGTAGGCAGGTCTCAAAATTGAATCCATATACTCACCGGACACTGTCATGGATACGAAGCCAAGAGCAGGCCATCCGTGAGAACTGCGCAGTTGTGAGTCCCTGACCTGACTGATTAGTAGCGGTGAAATCATACAGCGCTATGCATTTCTGTACCATGTTATAAAGTGTTTGAAAGTAAAACCGTATTATTTTCTAACTCAAAACCGTAAACCCGTACGCAGGTCTAGTACTGGCTGGACATTGGGATGGACATGAAGCCCAGAGCAGGCTGTCCACTAGAACTGCTGCCTCTCGCTCCTCCTGAAACAAAGAGCCGCCGAGATTGATGTGATCTACTTCGGAGTCGTCATCAGCGACAGCCATCTCGTCTCCGAGCAGATCGAAGTCAGGATTGGAAATGACAGAGGCTGGAGCAGATCCTGGGGCCAGATTGCTGGACGATGCTGCTGCGGAGGCCGCTCTAGGTGGCGTTGCCGGAAGGTGTTGCCGAAGCTGGGGCAAGCTCCAAGACGGTGTTGGGGCCCAGTGACTTGCTGAACGCATGGCTTCGAAGAAGGGGCGACAGTAAACACTATCCTTTGTGAAGACGATGAAAACACCACTCTGCAGCATGGCCGGGGTGCCCGTGTCGGAACTGTAGTCAAGACTTGGACGAACCATTTTGACGAAGTCTTCGTGGGAGATAGAGGTGACATCAGGCTCAAGAGGCTCGGTCGCATTGTAGGAATTGTCGACCACGTTTCCGGGCTGATGCTTGATGAACTTCGCTGCGTTCCAACGTTCTGTGGTCACAAGTCTCATTGTCTCCGACGTCAGCGTACGGCCCAGGAGTGTGTTAAGAAATTTTATTAATTAAGAAATCTGGACCTGGACCGGCCACACATTTTAAAATCCAGGGCCTCGCGGGCTCGCCCCAAAAAAATTCCGCCGAGGAAGTATGAAGTAACGTTCTCTGTCATATTTACCAAGAACCCAAGAAACTGCAAGCCTCAAACCCTCTAATCCCTTAAGCCCCGTAGTCTCAACCTAAAGCCTCTGCACGTTCAAGCCTTTAGAACGCCACCTGCCCTACTAGTTAACTGAAATCCCCAGCCCTCGGAGTCAAAAAGCCCACTGTAAGAGCCTAAGTAGACCCCCGCGACTAACACTTGACACCCTCAAACTAACCCCAGGAAGATGAAGAGGACGTGCTTCGCCTGCCCAGCTCGGGCGTCGATTGAGTTTTGAATATTTGGGTAGGCTAGTGGGTTTTGGGTAGGCTAGTGGGTTTTAAGGGTTCAGGTCTGGTGGGTTGCGGGGGTTTACAAGTTTAGGGGTCTTTTTGGCTTCAAGCGACTCACAGGCGATGCTTACCAAGGGGCGCTAGGTGCGGGGTCTGAGCGTCTGGGCTTAGGGTTTAGGGGAAAGTGTTTCAGCAGGCCCACGGCAAAGCTTGCCGGTGCGCTTTGGACGTGGATGCAGCCGGCCTGCCGCTCCTCCAAGCTTGCCCAAGTTTTGCCCGAGCCACTGTAGTCAAAGCCTGCGCAGAGCAGAATCCACGCTCACCAAAACGAAAAAAAGTCACATCGCATTGAAAACCTGCGCTGAAATGATGTCTAGGAGCTGAATCCCACTTGGTCACGATTGTATCGCGCCGAAGGCTTGAAATAACCATAATGAAGGTGAGGATCCGGAATTCGGGTGCCCTGGTTCTCTAGAGGCTTTTTCAAGCAAAGGAAACGAACTTTGTCCACGAACTTTTGCATCATCGCACAGTCAGCTTGTGAGGTGCACTTCTTCTTCTTCGTGGCAACACGTGGCCGCCAGGCACGAACAGCAAGCCACCTCCGAACCCATTGCAATCGAGGTTGCCATGGCTCACCTGTGCGCCTGACTTTCGGCCACACCAATCCAGGGGCGTGGCGCTGGGCATCCACTTTGGCGAAAACCCGCTGCGCCAAAGCAAAAGCCACCTTGGAAGTCAACTTCCAACCCTTCTTCCGCGCTGTCTTCAAAGCCTTGGAGAAGCGTTTGTCAAAGTGCCTTAAGCAGCTCGTCATATTTGTGGCTCCAGTTGTAGACAGTGTTATACGCATGCTTTGTGCCAGTGGCTCTGCCGTACTCATCCACAACCGGGTGGCCACTCGCCTTGCGTGCTCTCCAGGTATCCACTGCATCCACCATTCCTCAGCGCGCAAGATTACACATATGTAGCGCAAGGATGTGCTTACGGCTCCCCCCTGCAAAAAAACAATCCAGATCACAGGCAAGGATCTCCGCGGAGACACCCTGGGCCGCTTCTTGGCGCCCGTCGTCATTTTGGGCAATCCTGCTTTGGTCAGCTTGCATGATGTCCCAGCTTGCTTTGCGCCGTCTAAAGCAGAACCTCCAGACGGCTCGATGATCTCCACGTCCGAACTAGTCTCCTGCTCGTGACATGGCGTCGGCGAAGTCTGTGGTGACACCGGCGCCACTCCTTCCTCGCCAAGCAGAAGACCCACAGCCTCTCCTGGCCGCTCAAAAGCGGCGTGCCCCACACTGCCTTGTGGGAGCCTATGCACACGGTAGTGGTTCTGCAGAGCTTGTGATGTTTTGAACGTGTCGCTGCATATTTGGCAAGAGAAAGGAAAAACGTCTTCGACAAGTCTGCCATCCAACGTGCGCTGCTTCATTGGCACAGGAAGCGTTAGTCCCTAAGCTACGGATTGACATTGAATTTTGTTGACGGAAAGCCACTAGCAACTCACTACACCCGTTCAGCTTGCGTAGCCCTCAAAGTCCTAATGCTCCATCACAAGCTTGGGCAGTCACGCTGTCCGGTCCGTTTTATTGGGAAGACTTGTGTGGGACCGACTTTCCAAGTAAACGCTCAGCTGAGCAGAATGTGGAATGTGGCTGTGTCTTATTAAATTATTGCCCCGCCCCCCTCCGCGCCTTCTCCGTCCACCGGCGCCGGCTGCAGCTGCTGTAGAGGTGCTCCGCGGAGGTGTATCGCCATATTACACCCTTCAACCTACTTATGTTCCCCAACTCTGTCCCTATACTCACCTCTAATCAACCCTCGAATAAGAAATATATTTCAGGGTCTGGTTCAAACCTAACTTTCTTATTTCCATTTGGGGTTTTAAGAAATTTCGAAACCCTGGCTGAAAAAAAAATTCTTATTAGAAGCCTCAGCCGTAGGCCTTTTTCTTTTTCACCGACTCACCGGCAATGTCCCCGTCGTCGTAGATTGCCAGCGTCTTCGTGTCAAAGAAGACACCTCGGAAGACGTCCAAGTCAGACGCTGACCGGCTGAACATCATGGCAGCGGTTCGCGCGAGTGGTGTTTCGCCAACGCTTGGCTCACCAATCAGACACAGACTAATTATGATTCTACATCCTTGAAGATCGTGTCCAGGAGCAGCGGATGAAAATCCGTGAAAACCAGATCGTATCTGGCGGTGAGTTTGGCCAGGTCGTTTGCCAGCGAGTCCAGTGCCTTCTGCACAAGTTTACCGACCAGCCTCTGATGTGACTGCCGTCTTTGCTGATGTTCTTGTGGATCCACCTCGTTTCAGTCGACCCCTGTCACGCTCACCGTAATCCCACCCTGCGTCCTGGTCTTCTTCCGTGAGGCCACTGCCTAGCGTGGATGAGGAGGCTGATCGCTTCTTATCAGCTGCGCTGCTCAGGGAGTAGTGCCTGAACTGCAAGCCTCCCATCTGCTCAAGCATCCACTGGAGTGGCTTGCGCTTTTACAACTTTGTTACCGTTACCCCACACAATCTCGTGCGGTTTTCCAACCAGGTGCCGGCGGATCTTTTGCTGTGTCAGCTTGCCCTTGGTAAGAAAGAAGTGTTTCACCAACGTGTATAGTTGCCGTTCCCTTGAGGCATGGTGATGTACTGTGAACGCTGGATGGTTTGCAAGTTGCATGCAGGCCGGCAGCTCGCTCCAAGCTTTGTCTTTGAAGATGCCCTTGAGTGTGTATACATTGAGTTCGACCGGGATTTCTGCCAATGCCCCAAGCAGGGGATGAAGTCAGCAGCCCAGCAAATGCCTTCGCTTCGCTGCTGCTAGCTCTCACAACAGTTTTGGCCATGCAGAAAGGCTCGCAACAGACCTTGCAACCGACTTCGATCCTTTTATCTACTTTACGGTGAGGCACGCGTGTCACTCTAATTACAAACTACGCGCGCCTTCAGCGCCCGCCGAAAGTTCACACGAACACTTGCACGTGTCATGGTCATATCCCAGCAAAAGACTCCCATGGAGCACTCGCGCAACGGGCATTGCAGTTTGCTTTATAGTATTCCTACAAATTTACACATGTTTCCACATTTCCATATTGTTTGTTTCACAATGTTCTTCTCTGTTTGCACATTTTTTGCTTTAACACATGTATTTCGTGTCGCTTTTTGTCACTGTGGTTTTCACATTTTCCCATAAGTTTATGGACTCCTGGTATTCCAGGATGTGTAGGGAAAAGACCGACACAAGTTTAGGGTTTAGGGTTTAGGGTTTAAGGTTTAGGGTTTTTCCATGCAAGCCGCCACACAGAAATCCGTCCACTGGCGATGGCTGGCTGGCCCCCATTCGTACACGGTGCTTGTGCTTGCCACAGGAATGCCTTGCTCCCTCCCCCTTAACCCTAAACCCTAGAGAAGGAATCGTTGCGAGTTACGAACTTTGCAGTTTTTTTCCTTGAAACCCTAAACCCTAAATTCCTCTTTTAACCCCCCCCCCCCCTC